CTCTCCCCCTCTCTCTCCCTCTTCCCCCCTCCGTCCCTCCCTACCTCACCCCAGATCATACCATTTCATCCTCCTGTGCATCCTAATAGTCACTCTTTTGGAGATCAAGCATGCAGACCCGCCACATCTAAGCCCTCCCTGTGTGTACACCTCCAAAGGAGGAGCTGTTTTCCTGTGGCCTCAAGCCCTGGATCCCTTTCCTAGCCCTGGCCAGGCCTGGAGTCTCTCGGTAGCACGTAGGTCTTGCTCTGCTTCACCTCAGCTACGCCACACACTGACAGGGTTCTGGTTTCTCTCTCCATAGGCGGTGTCCTAGGTGTGGCCCCCTCTGTAGCCCTGGGCGCTTCTCCCAGGCCCTCACTGCTTCTTTAAGGGCCGCCAGGCCAATCCTGGCCCCCATTCTCCTGCTGTCTCGGAGGACTTGCACTGTGGGTGGCCATAATCTTCCTAGCTTGGCCCTGAGTGAGGCTCCCTGGTGAGGCCCACATCCCCTTACTGTGCTGAGGCTGAGGTGACATCATATCCCCAACTCCCCCTGGTTCCTGATGGGCCTGGAGCCTTCCTAGCCTCACCGAGCAGCCTGGCCCAGGTTCTCTTTTGTTTCTTTGACGAAGCACTTGTTACAGGACCCCTCCTGGGTGCCCCAGCCTTGTGCTGGGCCCCGCCCTTCAGGTGTTTATTCTGGCCCATGAGGAGCCAACAGCCTGCCCATCTGCCCTCCTTCCTTCTCAGGGGACAGACCTCTACGTGTACCCTTTCCCTCCTAGCTCCTTCTCTCTGTCTCTGTCACTCCAGGCAGGTCTGCCTGAGCTCCTCTCTCTTTCTTCCCAGTTGGCGTGTGTGTTATCTCCTCTCCCCCTCCCTCCCCACTTCCCCCCCACCCCCATTCCTCTTTCCTGCCCCTCCCGGCCTTCTGCCTTGCCTCCCACTCCCTGGTCTTTCCCTCTCTGGGTACTTCTCTCACTCCCCCTTTCTTCTTTTTCTCTCCCCCCCTTCCCTCTCTGCCCCCCTGGTCCTCTCCCCTCGGGTCCCACCCCCGGGAACGCCGTGTGTCCAAAGCTGTTGAC